TAACAATATTTGGATCCCATATTGTACCAATTTCTCCAACTGGAAAAAATCTTGTCAAATTCCTTCATACCCTAACTCTAATAATTTACCTCAATCTTCTTCACAGCCAACTAATAAAAGAAACAAAATTCACTATACTTTCAGTTGTCCTTGTGGCTCTGCTGACCAATTACACTCAGAACTTAATACTTGCTCTCCTCTAGGACAAGCTACTTTTAAAATCAATATTTGGTCTACTATGTAGATCAAATATAGTACTTCTATTAATCATATCCTAACAATTCAAATCTAGGTGAGTTTTGATCACTCTAGTAGGTTTAGGTCACAGATAATTAGTTTAAGCTTTAGTTTAAGCTTCTAGTATGAGCTTTTATTTTTGAATATAATTTATATTTATTTGTTTCTATACAAATTAAGTCTTTATATAGTTGATATGTAATTACTTATATAAATTAATCAATAAAGATATAAGCAAAATATCATCTTAATGCAAAAAAAAAAAAAACCTGGTAAATTTATTTTTCATTGAATTTCACAGGCTATTTATTTTGATAGAACCAAGTGTCTATAAAGTGATTATTGATAAAATGACATATATCAAAATTTATAATAACTTCTATGTGCATTTTTAAAATTTAGGCAACTTGTATCATATTATGCAGCATACAATATTGTCTGTATAATGCATATGACACATCTTTATACTTGCCATGGAGTTTCATTACAGGCATGGGTTCTTGCTTTACTCTCTTAGTTTCAAAGTCTAACTATCCAACGTGTAAGACCTTGTGATGCCTAATCATCAAAAAAGAGATTCTTGCTTTGCTCTCTTAGTCTCAGAGTCTACTTTTCAACGTGTAAGACCTTGCAGTGCCTAATCATCAAAAAAGAGATCTTTGTATCACTTATTAATAACTGGTCAAGTAATAATTCATTAGCTTTGGAACCTCATCATGCTGCCTAAGAAAAAAGGCTGTTCGGACTTTAATCATATTTTGTATACCATACAAGTACAAAATAATGCCCACTTGCACATTATTTCGAGTATACACATGTGTGTTATTTCGAAACAAGGGTTTGATTCACATCTCTAATCAGTATTTATTTAGAATAAAAATTAAAAAGTATACCGGAGCTGTGTTTGGTATTAGGTAAAAGCATTTTTTGATATTAACAAAAGTTGTTCTTTGGGGATCCATATTATTTACTGGCAAGTTCATTTTACTGACAAATTTTTTTTATAAATTACACTAACTAAATTTACAGCGGTTTTTATAAATTCTAGAAGAAACTAAAAATTTGCTAGTTTCCCAAAATCTCTTCAGTTTTGTCCTATGAATCATCTATCTCTCCAGAAAATACATCGCTATCTCTGGATTGAAATTCTGAAGATAATGATATGATTCTGAAGAGTTAAGTAACCTTTAGGATGAAACTATAGAGATTTTGGGAAACGACAATTTTTACTTTGTCCCAAAATTTATGAGAACAGCTCTCTAATTCTAAACAGACAAATAATATTGACCAGAATTACTGTCTGTAAAATATACTTTGATGAATTAAATTGTCGGTGAAATGAACTTTTCAGTAAGTGATTGTCTGTAAAATGTGCTGTACGAAGTGACTATCGATAAGTTGAGCAGATCCTATTCTTTAGATCTATCGATAGTAAAATCATTAAACAGTCTAGTGGTTTACCCGCAATGGCTCTATAAAGTTTTATTTTTCTTTATTTACATGATTTTGTAAAATTCTGAAGACAATTTTACTACTATTAAAATTACCAAGCAACATAAATTAATGCCAAAAATAGGTTTACTTATACCAAACCCAGTTCCAATCACTTTATTTTATTTTTACATTTATTTATATAGATGCGCGTTAATTTGGGATGCCCATAGGCACTAATTTGAAGCTACATATACTATTTTATGAGTATCTAAATTTCAAATTAATGCTCTGAGCATTATTTCGTGCTTTTACAGTATAGTTAACTGTTTATGAAAAATCTATCATGATGATAAATTCTCTATAGACAGTTAACTGTACACAAAATATAATTGAAAGTTAAAGCAGCCTTTTCCCTAAGCAGCACTTATATAGTGATTCGATTTCAACAATTATACATTATTATATTATTTATTTAAAAAATACTAGATATATAGTCTAAAAAGCTATAAATGTTGAAATGATAAATTGAAGAAGTGATTGTCCATTCTTGTAATTGACAAAGCTCCAAATTACTGTGAATTCTAATAATCTTTTATCATAATTTAAACACTTTTTTATGAATAAGCTAAATATAATGGGTCCTTATTATTTCACTAACATATACTTTAAAGACACTATATTAATCGACACTCATGCACTGACAAGCTTATTTTTACAGATGATTTATTTATAGCCAAGTAATTTCATAAACAGTATATTTCATCAATAGCTTATACTATACATACTATACTTAATTTCTTACTTATTGAGAGCTGTTGGCAAAATATATTGTCTACAAACTGAACTTATCTATAAACTTATTGACATGGTAGATTTGGTTGACATGTGTTTAGTAACACAAAATCAGATTGGGTTCATATAACTTACATGTTGATGATCGACTATCACGTAATATAAATAGAACAATAGTCTTTAGTATTTAATTAGTTTTTAGTTTTAGATTTGAATAGAAGAGACATTAATAATAAAGAAACGTTTAAACAATAAACTTTATTCTTAGTAAATAAGCCATGTCTTAGTGATATTGTATCGGTAGTGGTAGTATCTGGTATGATACTATAGTCATCATGTAATAAGCCAAGTAAGTGAAGTTTGGTAGTAAAAACTGCAAGTACATGGTAGTTTAGATAACTCCATGACACAAAGACCTGGGTAAGAAAGGTCTTCTCAAAGCAATGTGTTGAAGTTTGTCATACTTGCTAAGTGCAAGTTCAAGAAAGTTGTAGCATTGCAATTGGTAAATTTAAGCCTTGGTGGCAAGTCAAGTTGAAACTAATGGAATTAGAGTTGAGAATAAAGGAAATGAATTACCTGGTGATGTTAAAGAAAATTGTAGAAACAGTAGTACAAGAAGTAATGAAAAGCTTGAAGACTTCTCAAGATAAAAGGAAAAGCATATGTTATGCTTGTATTATGTGTGTCAGCATAAAAAGCACTTGGCTTGTTTGTGTCTATTATGAAAGATCAAGATCATGATTGAAGTTTGAATAATAAGTTGATAGAAATATGTTAGTGAAAAGAAGTATAATCATTTTGTACAAAGTATAAAGCAAAGAGAAGAAAAAGATAAGAACAATGAAGGGATATTAGAAAAGATGATAAAAGTAAATAGAAAGTTTGCAAAAACAACGATTAGAACTAGTTCATGTTCGAATCTATTAAGCATGAAGTGTACAAAGAAAAAATGGGCTTACCTGAAAACATGTGAGTAAGAAAATTGGTAATGAAGTTGTTAAATGTGTTTCTAGTGTTGAAATCAATGTTGAAGGTATTAAAGTAGTTCAAAAATTTTATATTAAGCATGAACTGTATTGTAATGTTGTTTTTGAAATGCCATAAATCGCAAGATCTAAGTGTAATATTCAAGCCAAAGGTGATCAATGGTATTTTATAATCAAATCAGATCATCAAAAGGCAACATTTGTGATCACTGATGAAAATGTTTTAGATAAATATATAATGGATAAAAGCAGTATAGTGAAGAATGATGTTAGAAGCGAAAACGAATTTGTGAATATTAGGTGTGTTAAAGGTAATTTGAATAAGAGTGATGATGTTGATGATAAAGAGATAAATAAGAGGATCATTAATAGATTAAATGAAAAGAAACTAAATCAAACAAAAGACATGAATTCGGAGAACTTACTTGTAAAGTATAATGGTAACAAAAATGAATCGATTAAATTGAAAGCATTCATTCTTTGTCAAAAATTTGCAAATATGAATAATGCTGTTAAAGCATCTATAGTTAGACATTGCTATAAAATAGATCACGTTAATAAAATATATAATCTTGATAAAAAGAGAACTTGTGATGAAAAGGATGAGCATAAGATGTTTGTTAATTATCAAAAATATGCTGATATGGGTAATGTAAACACTATGTGTAATTGCAGTTGTTGTTATGAAAATAGAATTAATGTTGAAAAGAATAAACATAAATTATTCATTAATTATCAAAGATTTGCTAACAAAGATCCTGATGATGAAGTAAATAATGTAGAGCATTGTTATTGGTATGGAATTGGAAAAAGAACATTAAATAGTGTGATAAAATTGAACAATTGTAGAAAAAATTTTGCAATATTAGATAATACAAACTATCAATTGATCAAAAGGTATGGTGTTATGACAATTGTGAATTGAAAGGCAAATTGGAGTGATGCTACATCATTTAATGGTAAAAAGATTGAATTTCTTAAATGATTGTATTTGGGTCATATAATTGGATATGATAGATCGGTAAATATGGTGTTTGGTAGCCATCTTAATATACAAAAGCTTGGAAGAATTGATGTACAAACAATGCTGGGTCAGGAATGATTATAATAATCAATAATAGGTTTCTTGAGGTTGAAATTATATAGACATTTGAATGCTATTATAGAATAATAGATTATATATTTAGAAGTTAATAACTTAGTTATTTGTGTTGAGTAATTTGGTTTAAAAGAGTAAGACTTCAGGACAAAGTCCTGGGGTCTAGCTCATGACATGGTAGATTTGGTTGACATGTGTTTAGTAATACAGAATTAGAATCAGGTTCATGTAACTTATACATTGTATGATCAACTATCACATAATATAAATAGAACAATGGTCTTTAGTATTTAATTAGTTTTTAGTTTTAGATTCGAATCGAAGAGACTTTAATATTAAGAAATGTCTAAACAATAAACTTTATTTTTAGTGGTGGTAGTATCTGATATGATACTTTAGTCATTACATAATAAGCCAAGCAAGTGAAGTTTGGTAATAAAGACCTGCAAGTACATACACAGTATTTTAGATAACTTCATAACACTTATCACTGATATAATAGGCTTGTCAGTGAAAAGATCATTGGTGAAATATAATGTATTTGAAGCAATTATAGATGTATTGACTATAACTGGATGAAGCTACTGTATAAATAACTGGGTCTATTACACCCACAAATTTTAAAATCTATAGTAGGTCTGAGATCTAGTACATGGCTGAGAGTTTGTATCATTAAAGTAAAAATTTGAAATACATATATACTTTGAATTTGTATTTCAATAAAGAAGATCCTAAGATTTGCACATGGGTCTAATCTTGGTGGGTTACTATTCAGAAAGATCTTTTATATGACTGTTTATAAATGAAACTATTTTATGTGAATAATGAAAGATTAAACCATATTTAAAAGAACAATTGGAAAAATATTATAAAATTTAAAATTAATTAATAATCAGTAATATAAGATTTGCTTTATAACGAGCGATTTGCATATGAAATTATAATATCCATATATAGTATAAGAAAATCTTAACTCCTTCCAAAAATGAATAAATGAAAATCATTACTTCTACTAAAAAAGGATTCTTCAATAATCAAGATAAGCGATATCAAAAAAGTTAAATTAAACCATCTCTACCACATTTCATATTATACAAAAAACGTGATCATACTGGAACCTACCATATTTCATATTATACAAGAAAGGTGATCATACTGGTATTGACATATCAAGCTTTGAAATTGTAAATTAAAGTACTTTATATTTTAATTGGTATCATATCAATTAATAAAAAAAATTTACACCGCAAATCACATTATTTTTATTAATGATTATTAAACCCACATGAAGATTAAACCACTACTAAGTGCTATATGATTTTTACATGTACCTTAGCAGATATAACAACAACAAAAAGTACAGTAAGCATTGTTCTTACAACAAAACAACTCCTACTTTCACAATTTTTTTATTGCATTTGTAATATTTAGTGGTTGAGTTAAGTTTTGTTGAGTACCAGTATTTTATAAAGAAATAAATTTGCCCTTTGAAATTACATCAAGTTTAGGAAATTCATCAGTACCTAAGAGTTCTAATTCAGTTCCTAAAAACTATGTATTCAAAATTTCAAACTTGCTTCCAACTTGATATGAGTTGCAATGCTCATCTATCCATTTTTAGCCTATCAATATAAATTTAACACATTTTTTAGTTTTATATTATTCTTTTATTAAGATAATAAATCATTTAACAGCATGTCGATTTGCTACCACAATTATGTTTATCATATTTAACATTTAGACTATCAATACTACCAGCTTTAATTAATTTAAAAGTATTAAGAACCCAATATTTAAGTTTGAATTTTCATGTTTACTTGATGGGGTTTATAAAATAGCCAGACAATGATTAATGATGCCTGACGAAAGACAAAATAGTTTTGTTTAGATGAATGACAAAACTGTTTTGTCTGGCAGCTTCAATTAGATGAATGATGAATAACAAAACCTGTGACAAATGACAAAACTCATGACGAATGATGAAACTCATGATGAATAACAAAACTCATGACAAAACTCTGTGAATATATATTTATTTATGAGAAAAAAATAAATAAAAATAAAATGTATAACTTTTGCTTTAGAAATCATTAAAAACTGGTTGGTGCATAAACGTTTTCTGATAATAAAATTTTAGATTATTATGATTTCTTTAGTTATGTTACATAAATATTCAAAGATTTACCAATTTTTATTGTTTCCAAGCCTTGATACTGATTACCTGACACGTATTTTAGAAAATAGAACTATGAAACAGGAATGATTTCTGTGTTCATAGAATTTTGCAGAAAAATCACGGAAATAGTTTATAAAATTTGTGATTTTTGGCCAAGGGTTGATATTTAATTTTGGCCAGAATTTTCAACTATAATTCTGGCCGGTTTGTGTAATTCTGGTCAAATTACAGAATTTTTACAGAATTATCATTTTGCATGGATGGAATTGTTATTTTGTTAACACAGAAAATCATCATCCTACTATAATAATAATATTAAATATTGTAAGACCAGTTATGTCATAGCATGACCCTAACTTTAAAACCTGCACCAAATCTTTATAGCCTCTTTCTGTCTACTGATTCAAGGTTAAGGAGTCTTGGAACAATTAGTTGGTTAGGTTTAATTATCCCAATTAGCTCACATTTTCTAAGTATGCATGAAACCCATCTTTAGCTTCATCAATCGTCAATTATCTGTAGTTTTATTTATAGTTTTGTCTATAGTTTTTTCTATAGTTTTGTCATTCGTCTATAGTTTTGTCTATAGTTTCATTATTCATCTATAGTTTTGTCATTCATCTATAGTTTTGTCATTCATCTAGGTTTCGTCAGACAAAACCAGAGACGAATACGTTTTATCTATACAAAAATAGTTTTGTTAGCATCACTTACAACAATTATACTTTGAATGATTCATTATATGTTTTTTGTTTTTTTTATTGTTCATGTAATCATTAACAGTTTTTTGAAAGCTTTTAAATGAAAGAAACGAAAAGACTAGCTAAGAATTTGAAGCTATATTATGGAAGATAAAATAACAAAGAAAGTTTTTTTTTTTTTTTTTATAATCAATCTAATTTATTAAACTCTTATATTAAACTTGAGTTTAATTAATGTACGTACATACGTACGTTATATATAATTTTTAAAACTATGTATATTACATTTTAAAGTTAATCAGTATAAAATATAAAACTATATATGTTACATTTTAATCGGTATAAATTTTAAACTAAGGTAAAGTTAATTTTGAATTTAAGAGCAACATACAATATATATATCATCTAAAAACAAAAATGCCCATTATATACAACACAAACTGTAGAAAATAACAAAATTTGCTTTATACCAAATATTCTTTATATGTTCTGCAAAAAAAAAAAAATCCAAACATATTATAAATTTTTAATAAGTATAAATTTAACATTTTACAAAGAATGTGCAAACTAAATGCACATGTAACCAATATGAAATACATGTTACCAGCAATAATATTTACCTCCACAGACTCCTATTACCAATAGTAAATCTTTCAAAACTATATATTCAAAACTAATCTAGAACCAA